ATGTTTTAAGGACTGCAGTTAGGAAGAAAACTTGTGTCAGATGGAGCAAGTGCTTCATGAGCTACAGTAGAAATGAACAGCTGCTTTTAAGTAGAGAAACTGTCAGGGTTCCATTTGCAGCAGATTTGGGGATGGCACAAACCAAGGTTGCCACTGGAAGCTGCTTTCATTGCAGAGCCTGAAAAAGTGCCAGTCAAAATATTCTCTCTTTTCTTGAAAGTATGAGCCATTTGTTACCACTAAAGGGAATGTTATAATGAGGGACAGAGTTAGATCTTAAAGAGCATAAATTGCTGCCAGCCATATTTGAAGATACCTTAATTTCTGTTCTACTGTAGGGCACAAATGATGATCAATGTACAGAAAAATCCATATTAATTACCACATGCTGCTGCCCAAGAACTTCAGGAGACTGGGCTCCATAGGTATCACAACATCCATAGGTAGCAGTTAGGGTTAAGTTAGTAATCCAAACATTGAAGAACCAGACTTGTCATTGCAAGTTGCACAGCCCTCAGTATCAGGAATAGGAATGATCCTATAGGGATGTGTCAATAAGGAGCTATTGTTCATGGTGGGGTTTTTGTTGTTTCACACATGAGTGTCAGAGTTACAATTAAAGTAGGAATTAATTAAAGTAGGGACAGACGTTGGAAATCTAAAGCCCTAATAACTTGGTGGTTCCCAAAGTTGTGAAAACTGCAGAATGTTGGTATCACTAATGATCAGCTCTGTCTTTCCAAACAGTGCATGGATTCTCTGTTTAAGAGAACAGACTGTTTTGCAAGACCTTCAGAGCTAGGAAGGGTACTGGTGTCAATAGCCACCACATAAATCCATATTTTTCTGATCTGCTGAAGAAATAGGATCTTAGTTTTATCTTCAGATACTGTAAGGGTGAAAGAGAAGACAAATTTTAAGAGTTTGGGATTCAAAGAATCAAACTGCTGCTGGACATACAAATGTAAAAATAGGGCAGGTGTCAGAGGCTGGCTGGGAACTGAAAATTTGAGGAGCTGTGTTTACAGTCTATTTTGATGAAGTTTTGGGCCTTGTAGTGTTTTAGGTAAAGTTTCAGAACCTGATGAGCTCTGAGACAGATTTATTCCTGCGGCTGAACTTCCCATTGAATGAGAATGAGAACTAGCACTAAGCTAACACCTTGCATTCCACTACAGGGCTAGTTCCCTTCACAGGGCCCATGTAAATAAGGATGTTGTCTGCCCTAGTGTTGGAGGTAAGATCATAAGACTACATCTGTGTCAGTCAATGAAATGGAGTCAAGGCAACCATGCCCTATCCATACTACATTGTACTTAAATGAGGTCCCCTCAGTGTCACCTGTGGCCTTTGAGACTCTTTTTTTTTCCTAGAGGCACTGGTTCAAAAATTGTGCAAGGGCTGTGTTTCAGCCCACCAAACAGCTGCTTTCATACCCAGAAGCTATGCTGCAATGCATGTCCTAGACTGTTAAATAAGGAGTGGTTGTGAACTGAAGTGTTGGAGGGTGCGAAGCCTGTTGCAATAAAGCTGGGGAAGGTGACAAACTTTCATCCATTCTGCTTAAAGGAAATAATCCTTTGCTCCCACTGCCTTGGAACCATGCCTGACCAGTGCACATACAGACAGAGGCCCAAATTTGAAATTATGCCAGGGAGTCACCCACTAATAGGCTAAATACACCAGGTGCAGGGTTAAAACCTATGCCCTGGTAATAATTTTTTTTCTTTTTTGTTTTTTTTTTCTTTTGGCAGGGAAGATGTAGACTGGTAATGAATGCTGCAGTTCCACAGTCTTGAGCAGCAGACTACTGTCAACAGGGAAAATGTTCTTGCCCATTATAAAATGGTTGGAGTCCTTTCTGTGGTTATTATAGTAAAGCTAAGATTTGAGACGCCACTAGCACATAGAAATCTAAATCTAAGAGAAATTAAATTATTGCTGGCTTCTGAATTGGCAGCTGGACACAGATGGGAGACAGTTGTTAGTGTGATCTTTTCCTTTGCACAGAGGTCCATTGGTTTAAATTAATGTAACATTTAGGCTCTGAGACTTAGGAGTTCCAATAACTGGTTTAATGCTGAATGTTAAAGGGCCAACTTGTGCCAGGAGGTATCAGTGTTGCTTTTTTTTCTTCGTATGAGCCAATTGCTCAGTTGTGTATCAGGGCAGGGTTAAGAGTTTAATTGAAACTTGAAGATACAAATGATGACTACTGGAAGATATTCAACAGGAAGATGGACCTTAGCAGCTCTTTTCAGTTGATGTCAACACTTCCTTGGCCTTACCATTAGCCTTTGAGAAACTGAAGTTTCAAACATCCAGTATGTTTGCTGGATGGTTGGGGTTTCAGGGTAGATGAGAGCTCTGATAGAAATATTCATTAGTGCATGTTTTGCTTCTTCTAATCCCCTTGGTATAATTGTAACTGCATTTAACATCAGAGCTTTAGAAACCAAAGGGTTGCATGGTGTTGGGAAGTCTGATGTCTGCAGTGGACAGTGCCTCTCTCTGCCAGTAGAGATGAGTCCTCTCAACACAGAGAAGGTGTGGTTTGGCAATCCAAGCTTTCCAGAGCCCAGTTTCAACGTGAGCACAGGAGGGCTGGCAAAGTTTTGAAAAAGGATAGTGGGAACTGCACGAAGCACTATATTTTTTTTTTACTCACTGCAGTAACATTTAGGGGTTGTAAATAAGATTAGTTTGAGGATTGACATACAAATCAGTCTTTGAGAATCTAAGTCTTGAAAATACCAGGATATTTCTGAATTTTGGAGACCCGTCAGAATTCTGAAGAAATTTATATCAATATGGTCCAACTGTACACAAAAGAAGCATGTTATAATGTAAAAAAACCCTATAATTTTATTTTGCAGTGTACTGGGGCATCTGCTAGAATCATGCATATCCACCCGAGCTGGAACTACAAAACCCCACTGATTTTTTTTATCCCAGCCTCTATTCCTGCAAAGATAGGACAGAATTTAACTGCAGTAGTCTTATTAGATGAATGTGCTATCCAACCTCCATGCATTGAAATAGGCAATATGTTATTCACTTTTCTGTTTAAATAAACACTGTAAATATATGTATACTGAAAGAATGTAACAAATAGTGTTGCAGCAAGAAAGGGAGAGAGCATACATTTTCACTGTCAGAGTTGTTTTGGTATAAACACTAACCTTAACGACAATCTTGTGGAACAGCATGTTGTGACTTTCAAGAGCAGAGCGGGTTTTGCTGTCCTCCTGCACCACCACAGACTCACACAGGCAGCATCCTCCCACTCCCACATCTCTTACAAAGCCTCCCAACCTGCCTCTCTCTTTTCAGTAGATTCTGCTGTCAGTACACTGTCAAAAAGGAAAAATCTCTCATTCTAGGACTCTCTGAAATGGGTTTAACTGAAAAAAAAACTCACACTGATTTGATGTAAGTTTGGTGTTTTGTGAGCTAAGAGATCAGGTGTATGGTAATCAAAATAAAATAAGTACTAAATGTTTTGTAGAAGCCTGTTTGCGGACTGAAAGTTATAAAAGACAACCAGCAATATTTTTGTGAAAAGAGCCTTTGAACACAAAAACTACCTTTATTTCTACATAAATTCCCTTTTTCCCAGGCACTTTCCTGGGACACAAGATGGAGAGAGATGCTGGTGTTCTCTTTCTCTACAGATACGAGTAGCAAAGCAGTAGGTCACAGTCACAAGGAGAAACTTGACTCTGCGGTCTGCTACCGTCCTTGGCCCAAGAGAGCCTGATGCCCTGGTGCTTTGTGTCTTGGAAAATGTTAGTTGCTTACTTGCTAAGAGGGAATGTAAAGGCCATCTTTTATCACAGGAAGTTTGTGTTTTATTCCGTAGGAGATTTTTTTTGCTGTTGATTTTAATTGATTTGCTAGACTGTTTGCAGTGTACACTTTCAAGTGTATGCTTCCTTATCCAAAAGCCTTTGCCTTTGAAGAGGGCACTCTACAGAGTAATGTAAGTGCATGCCCCAGGCTCCTCTCCCTCAGTAACCTGCATTCACCAATTTCCATACCTCTTATCTTTATGGGCTATTCCGGGAAGCTGCAAGTAGCAGAAGTTGATCTGCAAAAGAAGATGGGGCTGAAATATGCTGCTTTCACACACCTGCACCATCATAGGCATCCTTGAGTGGCTCACTGTTGATGGGAAGGGCGCTAGGAATCAAACACATATTACGTGGCGTAGCTCTACAAAGAACAAATAATCACTTTTAACACATGGTGTGACAAAAGCAAATCTTTTTTCTCATTTCTGGGTGAATGAAAAAAGGCAAAGGCGTTTGTATGATCATATACCCATCACCACACAGAAAGTCAAAGTCCCAATACAAAGTCAAACAAGTACCAGACTACATCGTGTGACCTACAGCACCACTCGCTTTTTCAAGGGCAGTTAACCACAATTCTATTTTCTTCAAGGCTCTAAAATACCCACCCACGCACATCCATCACGTGCACAAACAAAAAGCAGTGATATTTTGTTTCAGCCACGCACTCTGGCAACGCCGCATCCATCTCGGCAGCCTCGGATTTCACCTGCGCTGAGGCTCCGTGATCTTCCTCTGCCCCTCCCCGTATCTCTCCACCGCCGGGTCTCCCTGGAGGGGACACCGACCCTCTCCCTGCAGCCCCGCGGAGCCGGGGCCGGGCGGCTCCCGCTCACCTGCCCGAGGTGGGGCGGGAGGGGCCGGCCCGGGGCTGGCCGTGCCGCCGCTCCGCCCACGGGGGCGAGCCGCGGGGCCGCCCGGCACCTGCCGCCGCTCCGCTCCGCGCCGCCCGGCACAGCCGGCCCGCACCGCCGCCCTCCCCGCCGGCCGTGCCCTCCCTCCCTCCGGCCGCGCCGGGGACCGCAGGGCGAGCGGCGGCCGCGATCGCCGCGGGGCAGGAGCGCGCTCCGCAGCGCCGGGCGGGCCCCAGGTCAGTGTCGCTTCCCGTACCTGTTGCGCAGGGAGCCGGCGGGGCGGGGAGGGGAGGGAAGGAGGGAGGGGGAAAGCGAAAGGAGCCCCATCGCAGGAGCCCCATCGCAGGAGCCCCAGGACGCGCCACGCTCCCGGCCTCGTCCCGCGGGGAGGCGGCAAGGTACCGGACCTCGGGTCTGCTTCTGGGAGTGGGGGGTGCTGAGCGCAGGGAGCGGGTCCCGCGGCCCGGCTCAGGGGCGTCATTTACCTGAGACCGAGCGAGCCGCGCACGGAGCGGGCGGCGCTTCCGAGCCGCTCGACGGGGCACGGAACGCTCCCCCCGCTCCCGCCCGGCCGCCGCAGGACCCGTCCCTCCCCGCGGGCCGCTCCCAGGCGCCGGGCACACCTCCCGGCAGCGCTGCCCGTCCCCGGTGCTGGGCGAGAGGAGTCCCGGCGCCGACCGAGCGTGCCCGGCTGCCAACCCGTGTTCGCCCTCTTCCTCCCCGCAGGAGCCCGAGATGGCGGACAGCGCCGCGGCCACCGCCGCTCCTCGGGCCGGCGTCAAGGGCTCGGCCGGGCCCTGGTGGAAATCGCTGACCAACAAGAAGAAGCACAAGGAAGCGGCGGTAGCCCCGCCGCACCCCGTCGCCAGCGAGACCCCCGCCGACACCCCCAGCCCCGACGGCCGGGAGGAACACTCCGGTCCCTTCGGCAGCGGCGACGCCGCGGGAACCGCAGTCGGCAACCGGCGGAGCCTCCGGGTGTCCCATTCGGGCCGCTTTAAGGAGCGGCGGAAGGTGCGCACCTCGCTGCTGGCCGACAGCCCCGAGGTCTTCGACGGCGGCGGCGCCCCAGGCCACGCCGCCCAAGGGCCCGAGTAGGCCGGGAGGAGCTTGCCGAGGAGCCGCCGCTGGATGGGTGGCCGGAGAACTGGCGGGACAGGCGGCCGGAGCCGGTGACTGCCCCGCAGCCATGGGTGCCGTGTAGGCAGCGGCCTCCCACACCTGAGCGGACACTGCGGGGAGCCCGGCAGCGCTGCCAGGCGAGGGAATCGCGGGCGCTGTGTTACACCAACACCGCCAATAGCAAACCCTTGGATGACGGGACAATGTGATTGTCTTTTAAAAAACCACAAATAAACATCCCACTCCCTGTACTGTGGTGAGCGGACTCAAAGGTGCTATCCCAAGGCCGACGGAGGGGTCTCTGAACCTTCCCGCAGCCCTCGACAGGAGCCAACGTGCTGACTCTGAGGCCTGTGCCCCAGCTCCTTCTGGCTCTCAAGCCCAGGAGGCGCTTTGCTGCTTTCATCTCACAAGCTGTCTTATCGAAGGAAGGGGGGTGCAAAGTGCTCTTATCTAATTTCAGGGCCGAGGACCTCCGGTGGTGCCGAAAGTCCTGCCGTTAGCCACAAACACATCTTCCATCCCCCACGGGGGTCCAGAGAGAGGCATTGTGAGGGGCAGGCTCTTGCCTTCGCCCATGTCCCACATTGCATTTGCATATGGAAAAGGCAGGACCATGCTGGTATTCTCCCTCTTCTTACTGTGTAATACTAAGATGATGTTTCAGAGACTGGTCCCTCGTAGTTCTGTTACAGAGGGAGGCCCATGTTGTCTAGCAATTCACACTATTTACCCAGGGGATACATGATTTTTGCATAATTGGTTATAACTGGGATAATGAAGCTCCAATGAAGAAATTGTGTGTGATAAGATGTAAACATTCTTTTGGGACATGAGACCAGACCTGGAGAGCACAAACAGGGTTGTAGTCCTAATGTGGGAATAGGCTTGGGCACCCCTGGAAGTGTTTACAGTACACTTTGTCTGAGGCTTTTGAAGCAAGGTAAAGTGTCCCAGGATTTCTTGTGATGGTGAGATAATGTGCTTTGACTCCCTCTAAGAGCTCTTGGATTTTTTTTTTTTTGGACAAATAAATATTAGCCAGATTTGTACTGGTGTTGTGCCTTACAGAGCAAAATCAGCTAAAAATACTTGGCAATTACACATTTCTTGATAGTAGGTGATGTAGCAACAACTGACTTATTTATTTTCAATGCATTTGCAATATGCTTTATATTGTTAAAATAGCTTTAGACTTTTTCTGAGGACAAGATACTACACAGTGGCAGGCACTGAAAATTATTTCCTAACAGTCAAATATTATGCAGTTATGATTCTGTTTGGTTATAACTAATCACTTGAGTCAATTAAAAATAAAAAGACTGGAAAGGAAATGAGAAGTGAGTTCCAGTTGAAAATTCATATTAAACCAGCCACTGACAATCACTGAAATGTTGCACTAGATGCTGGGCAAGTGCCCCGTGGTTCAATGTGCACAATAATATGTAATGAACCTTGAAAGCTCCTGTGCAATAAACACAGACAACGTAGCTGCTGAGGTGCTCCCTGGTCATTCACTCCTTCAGACCCTGGAACCCAAGGACAGAGGGACTGTAGTATCAAATACATTTCCATGGAAGTTTTTCTTTTTTTTTTTCCTCCACCCAGTGTGTAGATAGATGCTTTTAAAATTTCCTTTAGTAAAACTACAAGGTACCGGATTTGGACTGCCTTTTTATATTGCTGACTCCATGCTGACCAAGAACAGATCTGGGGGAGGTGAGGGGAGGTCTTTAAACTTTCTCCTCAGGGTTGCTTTTCTTATGGGAGGCCTCTTCAGTCAAGGGACAACTGAAATGCTCTTCTTGAGAAGAAGCAATCAGAGCAAACCTAGTCTTGGGAAAAGGGGGGTAAGAAAGAAGGGGAAAGTTTAAAAGCTGGAAACAGAGGTGGATGATGAAGAACCATATTCCAGCTACAGGATGAGACAGGGGAGGAAGGAGGCACAAAGTGGTGCATTTGCTGCCAGGGTTGTCATACTACCTTTGGAGGCCAAACTGTTCATGTTTATTATAGGCAGAAGTAGTCTGCGTGTTTTCGTATGTGTGTGTGCCCAAAATGGAAGAACAAGCAAGCAGAAATTGCACTGATGCATTTCTTAACTTCTGCATCTAGTTTGGTGTGAGTTCTTTGAGGGTCAGATCCTCAGAACTAGCCAGAGGCTGGAGAAATGAATGCAGACTAGTGTTTTATATATCTCATGTAGATCCTTTTTTTCATTTTTAATCCTTAAACTGATGTGAAAATACAGTTTCCTCCTCTCTTCTCTACCTAAAAGCTGCCTTTTCTACAGTGAACCTCTGTTTGCTCTTTGGAAATGTCTCAGGTTTGTTGTTTGCAAGTCTTTACCTAGGCACAAGAAATACCCAATTTGGGTTTTATTTGAAAAGCCTGGTGTGCTATTCAGATGGCTGCTGCTAAGGTTCAATATCAATACTGGCTAATATGTGACTAAATATTAGCCATGTCTTAATCCTTGCCTATGATGCTTGTACTTTGGAAATTTGGTCAGAATGGGAAGTCAATAATTGCACGTAAAATACCTCCCAGCGCTCCTCCATCTTTATCCTGACCTTGAGCTGTGGGAAGGAGACGTAATTCTATCTTCCTGCTCAGTCAAATCCTTGCTTCAATGAATATGATAGCAGCCACTGAAAAACTAGATCCATGAGAAAAAGGGCTGGCAGCCTCGTCTCACTTTCCCTGCCCTCTGCGCACAGCAGCGCCTGCAGCTCAGCGCTCACCCACGCAGCACGGCCAGCAGGAGGGAGAAGGCCCCTTGGCCATAACCTGTTGCACAGAAATAGTCCTCTTATTTCCCAGACAGAGCACCAAAAAAAGCTTAACTAATCTGTACACACGTAAATTAATTAAGCTGATACAGAAAAAAAATATTGGACAGTACTCGCTCTGTATAACCATAGAGCATTTCTGGCCACTGCATTATTAAAAGGCAGTTTGCACTCTTAGTATGGGTATTTTTCTCATCTTCTTTATAAAGATCATGGATCAGAAAGAAAGTTGAGGAAATAGGGTGACTGAAAAAGTACTTGCTGTATATTTTTAAAAGTAAACAGTGACATATTGACAAAATAAATAGAAATAAGCAGATGAGGTGAACCTCAGCTATGTCAGTTACAGTACAATTTTCTTAATATTAACCTAGATACTAAGGACTGCTGGTTTGGGGCAAAAGATAAATATTTAGCAAATAGAATGAACTTTTCAAATAAACTTGCAAAGTATATGCTTGCTTATTCCTACTCTTGCCAAAACTAAAAATAAATCTCTGAGTGGTTGCCTGGTGAATCATTCCCTGCTATTGTAGGCTGGTCAGGCTGGACCTCAACAAAGATTATAGGGAGCACCTGCAGAAAATGATCCTAAATTGGAAACGCTGGAATAAATGCCTTGAACGCCCCAAGACTTCTAACCTCAGATGTTATGTCAGGGTATGACTTAAACTGAACTGGAAAAATGGAGAGGAGACCTGACTGTTTGGAGGAAGAGGAGTCTTCACTGTTTGGAGGATTGGTTTTGGGGTTTTGGGTTTTTGTTTTTTGGGGGGGGGTGGGGGTGGAAGGGGAAGGTGTAGGGGTTTTTTGTTTGGTTTGGTTTTGATTTTTTGGGTTTTTTTTTTGGGGGGGGGGGTTTGGGAGTTTTTCTGGTGATGGTGGCGTATTTTTTTTCTTTGTTTTTTTTATTTAGTTTTCTCTTCACTGTAATGGCACCAGTGATAATTTTATATTTAAAATATCAAGTCTCTTGTCCCTGAGCAAGATAACCTCATATGAAGGCTAAAATCTGAAGAACAGAACTTGAGGCCTTGGCCTGGCCAGTGCAGCTGGATGCTCGACCTTAAAGTCCATGTTTAATGTGGCTCATATAAATAGCTGATATCAGAAGACAAGCTGTTTCAAATGCAGCCACAAACTGGAAGCTCATTTTGCTGCCTCATGGGATTCTATCTGGTAGGAAAAAACAAAGAAACCCAAACTTGGTATTTTCTAAGATGTCTTTTAAAAGCTGGGGCAAGAGAGGATAGGTTATAGAATGATATTTGACACCATATAATTACACCATTTTGAAAAGCAAACCTTTCCTCTTCATCTCGAATTTATTGTAAATAACATGAGAAACCTGCTGGCTCTGATTTTTCATTTCAGAATACAACAAAAGAGAGAAAGTTGCTCGATTTTATAGATTTTATAGTGAAGTAGTTTATCAGTTTTATCCTTAATGACACATCTGAAATTCACAAGTAGCTCTAAGAAACAGTATTTGAATGTAGTCTTCAACTAAAGCATACTGATTAGCAGCTGCAGCTTATGGATTTGATTTACTGCCCATTTTATCTAGATAAAGCACTATAACATCAGATAATACCTGTTTTGGGGATAGCAAGTGGCTTTCCATGATAGCTGCAGGGCATGATTTTAAGAAAAAAACTACACTGATGAGTTATCCTCATCAGATCAAAACATCAGGTTTCTTCTGAGTTAAATGCGAAAAAATGGTTCTTTTCAGAGTATTAGTGACCAGACTATCAGATGTTTTAGGATGTGGGAAATAAACTTGATTCTCAGACACAAGCCTGTGCATGCTGTGAATCTCCTGCTGCCTGTTTGCAAAGTTTCTTTCCCCTCATTCAAAGTTATTGTTCCTCGTGGCAGTTCCTTTTACATAAGGAGGTAAAGAGCATTACTCTCCCCATTACTGAAAATAAGAACCATACCTTTGTATGCCTGTTGAACTGAAAAATTTGAGGTAGTGTGTACTTGAACTTTGGCGACTCACCTTTTTTTCCCCACTGCTGACTTAAGTTTATTTTGCTTTCCGGGTCTTTGTTCTATCCTCAGTCTGTAAATGTTTGAGCAGATAACCATCCACTGATCTCTCAAGATGACATGAGAGTGGGCAGCACTTCAGTGGCCAAGGAAAAAGGAAAAGTTAAAATAGATTTGTTTCTGGGCTCTTTCCCACTGAATTTCATGAACAGAAGCAGAACTGAGCCTTGATTCTGGAGCTATGACTACCTGGGAAACAGAAGGAGCCTCATTGTCTGTGCATTCTTGGTTGTGTTTATCTTGGCACGTCCTTTCAGTGACAAGTTTCCAAAAAACAGAATTGGTTCATCTGTCCTGTTTAACATCATTGAGTTCAGGACTAGGAGCATGGTGTAAACTTCAAAGAGAAATCCTGCCAACTGTACTTCCTAGAAATCCTGTAGCTCAGACCACTGCAGAAAGGGGAGGAGGAGGAGGAGAAAAAAAACATATTTTTTGACTTCTCTCTTCTTGTGTTCTTTTGATGTTATACCAGTGCTATAATAATCTCCTTGCTAGACCCTAAAACAGCTAGAGAAGTAGAATTTATTAAAAGTACATAATACACAAGGACAGCATTTTACACTGGCACACATCTGAGTAAGAGATAAGCCCATGGCTAGATACTGCACTGAGCATTTAGAGGTAGTTTAATTCTTCCTGCAAGGCTGGCAAGTTATGGTTTGTTTCTGGCTCAATTCTCCACTGACTAGCAGTAGGTAGGAAAATGCCTCTAGGTAATATATTAGCTATCACAGGTGTTAATTAACATCTGCTGAATTGCCTCTGAAATGGCAAAGAGTGAGAAAGTGAAGAATCACATTAGAACAGCAGACATTGTGGAGCATGACTGAAATCACATAAGCTTTAGAAAGCTGAGGTCCCACTTTAAATGATCATTTGAAGCACTTAAAACATTATCTGTTTTTGTTGATGACAGCTATTTTTTCTTAATCCATATATTTTTATTTTTCTGCTGTAATAGTTTACCATACAGACACCTTTTTAATGAGTGTTCTAACACACTATGTATTACCTCTCTAGTTTTATTGATTGCTTTTTCACTTTTTTTCTGCTGAAACAAGAATTTGGCTGAGCTTGTCATCTGCAAAAGGTTTCCACAAAATTAGAAGATAAACCTATGACTTATGCATAAATCTAAACTCAAATTCATAACCTTGCAGTTGTGGAGTGCTCTGGAGAAGTGAGCTCACCTGAAGACTGATCCTTTCATCTTCCTGAAAAAAGGCATCCATCATCCCTACTTTAAAGAAAGGAAATGTAGGAAATAGGGCTAAAGTAAAGCTTCTAAGTATGTGAACAAAATTATGCATCTAGTCTGAGAACAGAAGTCAGACTATGCCAAAAGTACCAAAGAAAACCAAGGTGTAAAAAGTGGAGGCAAGAGCGTCAAATGGGATTTCTAAAGTTTTAGATCTCTAAGAGGAACCTTTAGGTATGTGGGAGTTTGAACATGACTTAAACTTAACACATCACTGCACAGAGACTTCCAGGACATGGCTGAGACTTCAAACAGAACCAGAGAGGGGCAGAGGTGGAATTGCATCTGTCCCATGTGTGTCCCATTTGCACAGGTAGGAAAAACAATTCAGTTATATCTTAAGAAGTGTATGTAAAGTAGTGGTGTGGGAATGTGTCTCCCCTCGTGCAGCTGCAGATTTCCAGTGTGGTCAAAGGGTCACACTGACAAAAGCATTGAGGTGTCTGATTCCATTTACTTCAATGGCGTCTCAGTACCCTTGTGTCTCTAGGCTTCAGTAAAACCTCATAAAAAGGGAGTTTACTTACACAAAACTGTCAAATGCTTATACTAAGGTGAGAAGGTAAAAAAGGAGAATTTCTGGTTTATTTACCAGTGCAAATGGAGTTAACAATGCAAAACAGCTGTCTAATAACGTGTATTTTTTATTCTGTATTTTCAGCTGTTTGTACTGAAGCGATGTAGCTGCTTTCTCCCCTCCTCCCTGGTATATTCTTGCTTTCCTGCTGCTATTTGATCTTTTCCAGTCAACTTGAAATTATTCCTTACAGAACCTCAGCCCCGTGTAGCATTTCGGCAGGGCTATTGTTCTTTTGTCCACTGCCTGTAGATCAGCTTTTACTGCTAAACAGCTTCTTTATAAAGCCCAATGAAACCTTCTCTCGTGCTTTTGTTTGCACTGAGAGCAAGACCAAAGGTTGAAGAGGATTTTAAGTCCTGAGGTGTGCAGAGCACCCCCATCCCTGCCTGTGCTTCAATGTTAGTTACTGCTTTAACCTTTACCTGTTTTGCTTTGCCAGCCAGGATGGGGCACACCCTCACACAGCACAATACAAACCCATTTAATTAAGAGCTATTCAAGCTCTTTAAAAACATTTGGTTCAACAAATGCCTATGTCAAGCAGCAGTCATACGACACCTTTCAAAACCCTTTAATCCAGAGTAGATACCAGCAGCACAATTTTAACTTGGTTTTGGGTCTGAACCATCACTGTAAGGGTTGTCAGGGCTTGTTCCCAAGGCTGGGGAAAGGTCAGTTGCCAAGGCTTTGCTGGTCCTTTATGGCATTTGTGTGCTCTATAACAGTTCCTACAAGGGATACCAAAAAGTGCCTGCTATTAGGGAAGAGGCAAAAAAGGCAGCACAAATTTGGCTTCTTGAGATTGGCAGCTTCTGCATGCAAATGCCCAGTGAGCACTAGCAAGTGGGATATTTTCAGGATATACACCCAGCTTTTGGTATCTGCACGTAGGATGCCAGCTGCCAGAGTGTGTGAGGGATTTGCTTTTAGACATGAACCTGTGCCAATCAGCATGCAGGAAACATTTTGAAAATGCTGTCCTTCCTGTCTTGGGAATTGGGGCATCCCTGCACACCCCGTGTGACTCCTCAGTGGTACTGGGCCTGAGGAGGCTGAGTCTTCTGCATGTCTCCTAGAGCACCTTGGCAGCCCCTCGAGAGGAAAGAGAACTTGCTCAAACAACAAAATGGGAAGTAAAAGCTACTAGCAACAGTGTTAATGCCACAGGGATCCTGGAGAAGTGCCTCTCCATCTTCTTTGCCAAATCAAAGCTGCTTGTGGGGGCTGTGTTTCTGCTGCCTGTTGCTGTGACAGCTTTACCACCTGCTTTCATCTGCCTTTAAGTAGCATGGCAATATCATTTGCCATGTTTGACAGATTTTAGAAGGAGTGGGGTTCATTGAAGGCTTGACTAAGGAGAGAACTAGGAGAAAAGTCATTTTTAGATGATAAAACAGGGCTGAATTTATGGGGAGGGATTCCCTTGTTTAATGCCTGTATCTGTTGATGAACATAACAACTACATTCTTGTGAGTATGAGTGGCAGGATCTTATCTGAAGATGCAGCTGAATGATGTGTTCTCTGAAGGACTTTAAACCTAAGGCTCTTCATCCTTTCCAATGGATGAGATCCCAACGTGTAAAGAATGTGCAGCCTTCTCTGTCATGTAATTGGCTTTTAAGACAGGCACATTGGCAGTCCTCTTTTTGTGCTTATGGCAATGTATTACCCATGTGCCATTTTAATC